ATTTGAATTTGAATTTGAATTTGAATTTGACTAAGATTCAACGTTCTATTTCAAATTATTCCAGTCCTATTGAGAATAAGATATTAAACGACTGGCATTGTGGAAGAGCAGGCTGCTTAGGAAAATTGCAGGCCCCTGCGCTGCCTTCCTCCCCAGCGTCCGTCTGCGTGGCAGTGCTGCCAGTAAAGCTGCAACCTTGAAAGAGGTGTGGGAGGAGGACGGAGGAGATGTGCATGTTTTGGGAGCTCTGCAGCCAGCAGCAAACAGAGCAAAGCAGCCCAATAAGAGAAGGTGTTTTTCCTTCTCTTGGTGGTCCAAAGGAGAAGGGAAAGAGGCACAGCGCAGCGCAGCACAGCACAGCACAACGAACGTGGGCAGGCGCATGTGCTTTACATGCTGGCCATTAACAGAGAAGAAAAAAGGAGAAGTAATCCCAGAGAGAGAGGAATGAAAGACAGAACGGTGTCTGTACGAGGAAAACATTGCTCTATAGTAGTGATAGCATAGAGTATAGACGTAATAGTAGTAGAATATCGTATAGGGAGAATTGTAATTGTACAGTAGCAACAGCAATGGAATAGATATAGGAAGCACTCACACATATGTTTGTATGCTTCACTTTTGTATCTTGGTTTTTTAAAAATAAAACATCTCCCCAGTCCAGTGCTTTTGTGGCTTTTTTGGTCTGGGGCAATCTAATTGGGTACAGTTTGAAAAAGAATCCGTGATGGGCATAAAACAATTAATGAATTACATATGATTTAGTGAAAGACCAAGGATAAAAATTCAAGAATTTGTAAGACTCAGACAAGGCAGTCTAGTGGCTATAAATTTCAGATTGTACCATCATGCTGGTTATTTAGCATGGTTTCAGAATGGAACACATTCCTTTATGGTTCCATTCCTCAATGGAAGGGGCAGGCCTTCCACAGGGGCTGCAGAGATTTGGGTTGATACAGAAAGAAACAGTTCTCAAGAGATAACGTTAAGTAGCTTTCTGAATAGTCAATCCAACACAGTGAGAAAAGAATTATGGAAACCAAGGAAAATATTGAGAAATTTGACTGTGAAAACCTTGTAACTCATAATACCGAACATGTTAGGCAAAATTTATAGTTTATTCGTGAAATATGACTCAGAATCTGAACAATTCAAAGTCTGTATGATTAAACTGATGCAAAATTTTGGTATAGTCATGGATGTGGAAGAGTGGGAATTTCATTTGGCAAGGAATATTAAATTTACCTTGAATATTATACTTAGAATTGGCATAATTACTCCAATCATGATTGCTAAAATCATTCATTCCTTTTCTGCAAAATGCTGGAAATGCAATGAACACATTTGATTCTTCTTCTGTATTTGGTGGCAATATTCCAAACCCCAACAATATTGGAAAAATAATTCATTGTAGAAATTTTGAAAATTGTAATTCCACTTCATCCTAGTTTTACTAAACTTTATAAAATCATACATTTCTTCAAAGTACATTAAACTGGGATTGTATGTGTTAATAGCTCCAAGGATTTTACATAGTTTTTATTGGAAAATATATTTGATTGTCTCTGTGGAAGAATAGCTAAACAAATTGTGGGAGCATGCTTTGATATTTAGAATTTCATATTACAAAAAATAAATCAAATGTACAATGCAATCTTATTTGGTAAGCATTTCTAGATTACAATTCTACACATGGAGTTGTGCCACACCTAAAATTTGGGTTTTAGAGTTATATTTTAATTTGACATGTAATCTACCTATTACAAGTAATTCTCAGATTATGTCCCTTTGTTCAGTGACTGCTCAAAATTACGATGGTGCTGAACGAGGGGGACCCGTCCCTGGAGTTCCAGCTGCCGCAGCATCCCCACAATCACATGATCAAACTTTTAATGCTCCCTGCTGGCTTCCCATAAGCAAAGTCAGTGGAGAAGCAGGTAGGAAGTCAGAAGCCGCAGCACAGACTAGGGTAGGCAGGAATGAAATTCCAGTGTTCAAATTCATTAGGAAATGGTGATAGTTATTATTATAGAGAGAGTGCAGAGAAGAGAGAAGTATTACGAGGCTCCTCTTCAACCTACATTTTTCAAACCGGGACCACAGTCATCTTGGTCATTTTTCATGCTCTAGATTGGTTAAATTTAAATTAGGAGGTACCTACATCACAAAAGAATATTACATTTATTTTCATGTGTTGCCTCTTTCATCCCACTTATATGTCATTTCTGATCCTACGTTATAGGAGAATGAGATCAAATTCTGCTTTTATTAATATTTTAAATATTAAGGGGAAGAGTAAATGCATTTATGTATCAAGCCCTGAAGCAATTATGTATCAGCAGGAAACTCAAATTTATACAGATTATAGCTTCATAGCAGACTGAATTGATTATACCACCCCTACCTCTCAAATGAACATTGTTGAAGAAGTAATAAGATAATGGTTCCTTTCCAAAAAAATTCAGTTAATATCCAAACTAAATATTAATCTACATTGTAAAACAAAGTTTTTTCAGACTTTTGAACTCCTATATGTATTCTGCTTTTAAAATGGCAAAAAGCTAAATAAGACTTTAACTTAAGAAAGTTATAAACAAATTAAGGGACCAGACAAATCTGGAATATTAGGACTTTTGCTATAAGATTTTGGAAATAATTAGATGAGTAAATAGCTCCTTCATGGGAAACAAATTGTTTAGTCTATCTTAAGTCATAACAGAAACTCAAGACTTTATGATTTCAGAAGTTGGACACTAGAGAGGACTGAAGATTACAGGCAGAAAAGGAAAAAGAAAAAAAAGAGAGAGAAAAGCTTGCTTTTTGTTTTTAGTCAGCATTGGGACAAAATGACAGAAAATGGTATGACGTGTGAAATACTTCAGGAGATCTTTGAAGAATGGGGTCAGAAAATTGCAGCTTCAATGTTAGGAGTGATGTCTGCTTCTATGATTAGATTATTTCCAAAATATGTTAAAGAAGAAATGACAGATGTGAAAGAGAATATTTTGGAACTCAACTTAGACTGAACTTCTGGTACCTACCTCATTTGATACCTCTGCAATTTGATGATGAACCATCTATTCAAACATTTATTGCTTCTGTAACAAACTTGTGCTCCTAAGTATCATTGGGACCTAATGAAAGCCTAAGAAAGATTGCTGTGTCTTTTGTGCAAAGAGCAAAGAGTTTTACCTGTTCATCATTCTGTCTTTTCCATCTTCCAGAATTATATTGAATCAGGAAAGGAGCAAGTATTGAAGGTCTATTACTTACCTGGAGTTCCAGAGGTCTTTCAAAGAACCTTCCAGATACAGGTGGCTCACCTGGAGCCAGATAGTATTACTCTGAAAGGACAGGGAGTTTTCCCTAGAATTTGCTTGGATCTGCCCAGAAATATTCGAGGTAAGAGTGATAGGTTCAGTACTTTGTCTTCCCATGAAACAAGAATAACTGAAAAATATAACTTAATTCCTTCACAAATATTCACTAGCAGTATACATGAAACAGATGTTTTTGTTGTTGTTTTGAGTTTGGAAAAAACCAAACAGTACTTTAATTTGAGTATGTTCTATCCAAACAAAACTTACAGTGTTTTGAAATTTCCAGCTGATGGGAACATCAAACATCAAACAACCTTATGGTCCTTGTTTTTCATACTGAGACTCCAAAGTATCTTTTTCATACTAGAATCACAAATATTGGCTAAAAGCGTCAGTTTTAAAAATATTTTTTGGAAAACACTAAACCCATTGCTTTCCAGAGAGTATTTCCATTTTTTTCTCACAATCATCCTCCTGGCCAGTTTATCTGCAGCTGCATGCAAAATATCAGCCAGCCATTATTACCTCATCCAGATGGAAACGACAAGTCTAAATTTGATAAGCATAAGCTCAACCAAAAGGGATGACATTTCTGGCCTAGTGCTGGAGGTGTTTAAAAAGGAGTGTTGCTATTTAATTCTTGTGTGCATTACAACATATTGTATTACAACAGCAAAGGAAAAATGTAATATAGCTGCATTTGCAATTGTCTGACTTAAAAGACCAGAGACCTGCATTTAAATAAACTCTGAAAGTTCAATATCAGCAAAACACAAGAGTATAAATAGAAACCTTTCAACCAAACTAACATAGCAGTCTTTTCGTTTTTGAATGAAACTCTTATTTCATTTTTATGTTTTTATTATTAATTTTTATAGCCCAGCTTTCTGTTAATGCATGATTTTAAGGCAGCTTCCAAGAATTAAAAATACAAAAGTGCAGTTAAAATTAAAAGTGAAAATTAAAATCAGCATCAATAAATAATTAACAATCAAAAAGCATGGTGAAAAAATAGGTTTTTTCTGTGTTCCTACTATATTGAAAAATGGGGGGAGGGGCAGTCCACTCCCTCGGGGAGGGCCTTCTACAGCATGGGGGGCTCAATATCCACCGGATGCAACCATGGACTGCTCAACCATCCAATGTAAACCAGCAAACCAACCAAACAGACCATTTGTCTTGTTTAAATGCACCCTGAAAGCTGGAAAAGAAATGCAACAGAGTACTCAGAACAGCCCAGAACATCTTTTTCAAGTGCATTTCTTCTTGGCTCAGACTGTCTATGATGCCCCTGGTATTGGGTCGTTTGTGTTTTCGTAGGCAACGAACGGTACAGCAGTGTCGTCAGAGAAGTGAAGCAGCGAATAGAACAGGACTCACAGAAAGATTTCAGCAGTAATTCTGAAGCAGTGGCTACTGAACCGCCCATGGAAGAATCCATCGCTGCTGTAAGATCACCAGCCCTCCCACCTGACCGTGAGCTGGGCTGCGTGGAGGGACTCAGGTGGAATTGCTCTGGGCATGTTTGCATTTCTGTTGCTGGGCCCTTGAGGAACAACGAACAATTAGCCGTGGCATGGCTGTCGGAGGGGGCCGCACTAGCCATAAGTCAGTCTAAGGAGATATGGGTGAGGTCAGAATGCAAGAGTAGAAATATGACACTGCCACAGACATGCTAGAATTGTTGACTCTCTTCTTGATATCTTTAGTTTGATACACAACTGCAGATGGAGGTGGAAAGGCTGCTCATCCGAGAGCACGCTCTGGAGCAGCAGAAGCTGCTGGCTTTTGTTTCAACAGATGACCCGGCTGCCTGTCAGCGAGCTCGCCGGAAACTGGTCAAGTTAGTGCACATAGCTTCTTTCTGGTCCAGGTAGATGGGCTATCACGTTTCCCAAAGGAAACATCAAAGATATGCGTGCTCCCAAGTCAAACCTGTTTACGTTCTTTAGGGCCTCTCTTTAACAGGCTGATACACTGCTAGTCATACAGGTAGTCCTCACTTAATGACCACAGTTGGGACTGGAATTTAGGTCGCTAAGCAATGTTGTCATTAAGCAAATTATCATGTGACCACTTTGCTTAGGGACCACAATCCCTGCACTCCCAGCTGCCATCGTTAAGCAAGAATCACAGGTCATTAAGTGGACAGAGTCCCAGGTAAGGAGCGTGGTGGTGCTTGGGGGTGGGGGAGGCCCCGTGCAGGCCACCCATGAGTTGGGGGGTGCTGCAGTGTGGCACAAAGCTACAGCCACCCCTGGAAGTCTCAGCCACCCCAGCCCGGCCCAGCAGTGCTTATGAGTGCAGGGGCACTGCAGATCCACCCACCCACCTACCTCCTTGTGCTTTTCCTTCTGCAGGTTGTGCCTCTCATTCCTTCCGTAAAGCCAGCATCCCATTCTCACAAGACTTGGGAAAGACCAGGTTTCCGAAGGATCACGAGAATGGGACCCTGGTTTGTAGGTGGCTTGGGCAAGGAATGGGATGATGGGACGATGGCTTTAGAGGAGGAACGAGAGATGCGGCTTGGGGAATGGTGCAAGCTGGTGAAGGTCAGCGGTGTGGGGCTTGAGGCAGCATTTCTCAGTGGCAGCGGCGGTGCTGGGGCTGAAGTCGAGGCCTGGAGTTGGCGGCAGCTGGTTGAGGGTGCTGAAGGCCTCGGGCCTCTACTTCAGCCCCAGCATCGGTGCTGCCGCCGATGAGTGCCACTGTGCAGGGTGGCCAAAAGGGCGTAAATGTGGGGGGAGATAGGCAGGTGGGGGGAGTTGCAGCGCCCCTGTGGTTGTAAGTGCGGGCAGGCTGCCAAGCACCCGAATTTTGATTACATGACCACAAGGGCACTGCAACAGCCATATCTTTGGGCACAGGTCATAAGTCCATTTTTTCAGCACCACCATAGTTTTGAGCAGTCACTGAACAAATGGTCATTAAGAGGATTACCTGTAAACATTTTGATACAGTAGGTGTACGGGGATGCCTGAGAGTCTAGCTGTGGTTTCTTCCTCTTTAGGCTTGTTGAACCTAAGAGCTATGAAGGTGTTTCTCTGCATGGAGATAAAAGGGAAGATTGCTTGCTGCTTAACTCCCTTTTTCTCCCTCATAAGCAGAGCCTGGTCATCCAACCTTTAGTGTAGTTGAAATGAATGAACTGGTGAAATTTGAAATGTTGTTGAAAATATCACTCGTGCTGTTCACGTCAACATCAAACTTACATTATGCTTTTTTAGAGCCCAGCTCCCTGAGTATATCTTAGACTTTGGCTACATAATCATGGGGACCATCCGAACTCACATTATCAAGATCACCAACACTAGCCACTTCCCAGTATCCTTCCATGCAGATCGGCGGGACCTGCGGGACACAGGTACAAGAAGAATATCATTCCATTTTTATCCTAGGCTACATTGAAACAGTAAACAACTGTTTAAAGCCTTTGCACAAATAAATAAATATAATAAAATACACTGATGATTCTCATGTTTACTGGACAGTAAGTCAGGTTTTTCAGTATGTTCGAAATATTCTAGTTTCGTCCAGTCCTGGTCCTCTACCATGCCAGATAGATTGCAGTAAAAGAAAAGAGGTTTTCTCAGGGTTTGTTTCTAGCCTCGCTCAGTTTCATCTGTGTTTGGAAGATATTCATCAATGAACTTGTTGCTGTCTTTTTACCCCAAATCAGAAAAGGTTTATGTTAAGAGTAAGAGTAATGATCAAGAGTAATGCCAGGTCTATCTTACTGCTTAGCCCCATTTAAATAAATAAATAAATGCTAGGCCCTGGTTTGCTTAATTATTTTTGTGGTTCAGTCATTAAGTCATGTCCGACTCTTCGTGACCCCATGAACCACATCGCGCCAGGCCT